ACATACATTTCGGCAATACTATATAGGCTTATGATTAAAGGCCGGCTTGTATCAAACAGAAAACAAAAAGTCTCACTGTTTGCGCACAGCCTTACTCCGTGAATCATGTTTTAATCGGTCTCCAATTCAATGAATATTTTCAAATGGGGGGAAAAAAATATTACCGGATGACAAAAGGCTCTTTTGATATCTGCAGAGATATCGCGTTCAGCTTTAGATCTACCATTTATTTTGTCGAGTTTTAAAGTTGAGATAAGGCTAATTTATTGTTTTCCATCCGAGACGTTGTAATTTGTTTTGCTGTGATAGAAATTTTGAACTTTATCACTTGTTAAATATAGTTGATGTTCGATTGCATAACGGATTAAGCTGGACATAATATTTTATGTGAGGGGACGATGGTTGCTCGTTATTTTGACTTAAATACTGAAAATAAACATTTTAGACTAATTAATATACTTAAGTATTTTGTAACGAAACTAAGATTAATACCTTGAAATATTCCATCAATTGCTTTTTAGTTTTAAATACCTTAATATAAAAGGACTATAAACATTCAATAATAGATTATTATTGATTTGTATTTTTTCAATAAATACACTCAATGGAAAAAGTACAGTTTATAAAAACTTTGTAAAGGATGATGAAGCCAAGGAACACCTAATTAATCGCGTGCATTTAGATGATGCCAGAAGCCATAAAAATCGGCTAATATGTCTAAAAACAGTAATGAAAGTAGATGAAGCGAAAGATGTATATAAGGACTATAGTATGTGTCGATCCTCCCTGCCTGCAGTGCCTTCTCCGCAAGGGATACGTCTTGTAGATATAGATATATAGTAAAAATTATAACCAGAGCTACAAAAAAAGTGGCAGTGACTTTTTACAAATACAATAACTACAACGTACTGATTTATAAACAGTTTTTTTCTTATAAGTGAATACCTCCAAATAAACCACCTGAATCGTTTCACAGACACATAATAAGGCCGACGACAATACTCTCATTTTCGTAAATCTCCAAACAATAATTCACAAGAAAATGCGAACCCACCGAAAATTGACTCGAACAAAAGGTTGTAACTCAACAAAATCTCCACAGTGAAAATATAAACAGTGTAGCATTTAACAGTTGAATATTTTTTTTTATTTGTTTGCCGGTTTTACGACTTCATACATCTTCTTTCTAACAAAAGTTTCAGTTAGTCTTCTTCAGCTTCTACTTCCTTCCAGTTTCGTCATATTTTCATCAAGGATTCTGTTTATTTAATTTTCTATAATTTATTAACTACACATTTTTACACTTATCATTGCTACTCCACTCGTATGAGTCAAAGTATGATGTTATATAGCCCATTGCCTTCCTCGATAAATGGACTACCACCAGCCATTTTACGTCCCCACTGCAGGGGCTCAGGCCTTCCTTATGGATGGTTAAGGAGAATGGGCCATGACCCTCCACGCTGGCTCAATGCGGATTGGAGGGTATTGACGACTGCAAATGCAGCCGAGACCAACGGCTTAACGTGCCTTCCGAAGCACGGAGGAGCTCGAGATAAAAATTTTTTTGGTCACCCATCCCGTGACCGACCCTTGCGAAAGTTGCTTAACAACTACGATCGCAGGCCGCGGCGCTTATCCACTACGCCACCGAGCTACCTTAAATGGACTATTCAACGTAAAAATATTTTTTTCAATTCGAACTAGTAGTTCCTGAGATTAGGGCGTTGAAACAAACAAGCTAACAATACTAGGATAGATAAATAGGTGATAAAATCTTCACATCTTCAGTTGCTTTACTGTCTTTATATTAATCAGTCGCGAACAAAATTTAAATTCACGATTCACATTTTCAGTACAAATAAACTCAAATAAGGATACAAACATTTCAGTTAATGATTGTACTCGGGTATCATGTTAAAAGGAATCTGTTTAATTAGAATTCATGTTGGTTTATCTATCTCGAAGCAACTTCAAAGGGATTCCACAAAAACTTGTGGATCAAAACAGGAAGGATCGCTTTAATAAGTCAACAATCGACGATAACAAAGTGTGTCAGAGATATTTGTGACCCAGATAAGTTAAAATCAGATAAAACATATTTAATAAAACGTATCTACGAATAAGAAAATCTATAATTCAGTTGATGTATATTTAAAATCAAAATCAATATGCAGTTATTCATGATAGTTCTTGAATACTAATAACGTTAACAAACATTAAGAGCGCGTCAACACTGAAACTAATATCATCATCATCATTATCATCATCACCAGCACTTTTACATCCCCACTGTAGGGGCTCAGGCCTTCCTTGTGGATGGTTAAGGAGGATGGGCCATGACCCTCCGCGCTGGCCCAATGCGGATTGGAGGGTATTAACGACTGCAAATGCAGCCGGGACCAACGGCTTAACGTGCCTTCCGAAGCACAGAGCAGCTCGAGATAATAAGTGTTTGGTCACCCATCGCGGGCCGCGGCACTTATCCACTACGCCACCGAGCGACTCATATATCCGGAAATATATTAGAGCGAAACTAAACAAACGTCAATGTCAACAGTGACAATGATAGATAACTGACAGATAGGGATGTCCGTATTGAAAACTACTGACTTCATTCGGTCTGGTCATCATATGGGTAATCTACCATGTGTTCTAGTTCCTTCAACTCTTTCTTTTACCACCAAGTGCTCTATGGGGGTCATGGTGTCGCTCCAAGACATGATCAAAGAACTTTGAAAATTCGAGACTGTATTAGAGTTAATAGCCGTTGTGTGATGACAAGTTTGCTACCATGTGCCTACCGCCGCTGAAATAATGGGGACTCGAGAAATATAAGGTACATGGTGGCAATCGCGTAGAAAACTATCATTCCAGTTGCATTATACTTCAATAAGGTGTTTTATCCATTCCTCTGATGTTAATAAATAATCAATTAATACAATCAATGTGTGTATAACGTATAAATAGTATCAATTGAAGTCACTCTTTGCCTCTGTTATCCGCTGTGTTTATTAGACATTTAACTCTTTCCAAGTCACCCAATGGATTTCTGTTGTATAATAAATTTCTTGCAGAAGATTTATCATGCACAGGAACGGAGCATGCAAAAAGAAATATGGATTAATTAATGAAATATTCTTTATTGTACAAACATCATACGGCCAAAAAATTTACAGTTATAATTTAACAATAAGTCAATCGGCGGCCTTATCGCTTAGACGCGATCTCTTCCAGGCAACCGATACAAAATGGAAAAAAATAAATTATAATTGGGTGTGCGTCTAAAAGAATCTCAATTACCTAAAATATGATATACAATACAATATACAAATAAATAATGGATTATGGATGAAATGGACGTTAATTTCTAAAATACACTTTATGTATTTTCGGGTAAAAACTTATTTAACTGAAAAGGTCCATTTTTAGCCGAAGAAGTGAACAAGCCTGAAGTTACCTTGGCACCGCAAGGCACTGCTAACTATTTCATTATTATAACAAGAAATTCAAAACACGCCTTTGCGAATCTCTTGGATTCAAAATCAACTTAATGTAAATTAATAATAAAAATAATTTAATTAATTTAAAACCGCAGATCCAATTTCTTGAATGATATATCAATGAAAAAATAAATAATATCAAAGTTTTTCACATGTAAACATTTAATCTAATAGTTACAGCTAACAATCGGCTTGCCTTTTCATTGTCTTTTGTGTAAGGGATTTTCAGTTTTTATTAATTTTCGTGACATTTTTAACTATCTTAAAACCAGTTATATTAGCAGTAGGTAGTCAATACTATATCGCACTATCATATTACCAATTTGTGTAAAATATTAATAAGAAAGACATCAAAACTTACTGTCCATTATTATGTCCATATAGTTATAGGTAATGAACCCAATTCTCCTAAGAAAGAGATTATAGAATTTGTAATAAATAGAACAAAATAGGTTTTGTTATTATATTCTATATGCTTGATTTAGAAGAATTGAAAACCTGACAAACATAAGGAATAACAGAGCTGCAAACCGATTTCAATAAACTATAACAATAATAATTTCATAATATTAAATAAAGGCCTTTTTAAATTAAAATCTAAGCATTTGTACTATCTTAAAACTAATATTCATAATGAATTTTGTAACGATGGCATGTACAATCAAGAATATTTGAAATACAAATGAATTGTTGAAATAAAATGTCTTTCAACAATTCAATATTCTCAAGAAATTGAGCTGCTGTAATATCAATCTATAAAACTATCTTTAAAATTCTAGGTTTAAAAACTATGTTTAAAATTTGATCTATCATAGATACTTTTTAAAATGTCAAAAGAAAAATAAGCTTCTGGACTTCTGTTATTTACAAAAATTTATCTAAGAATACTTTGAACATCTTGTGAGTAAAAAAAATAAATATATGCGTAAGTAGGTATTTATCTGTAGAAGCCACCACATTAAGCATTCAAACGCTGTCTAAAGATAAATACTTTTTCTGAGGCACATTGAGGTTGTTTCCAAAATACAGAAATCGGAAAAAATTAAATATTAACGCTGAACTTCTCTCGACAAAACATTGGAAATTCTTATTCCCGTGATAACACAATTTCATTACTAGGAAAAAATTAAGTGATACCATTTCTAAAATTCTTTGAAGAAGCGAAAACAGGCAATTTCAAAGTAACAAAGTCAAATGAATTTATACAAAAATATATTTTATTATAGAAATTATATCAAATAAACGATAAATGAATTTTTATTATGTACATGTATTTTAATAAGAATAACTAGTTAGTTTATTTTATGAAAATGAAAATCATTTACTTCATTCTACGATAAAATTGTATCGGTAGCATATTCGAGTAACTAGAACCGAAAAAACATGGATGTGTTTAGAATAGTTTATTTTAAAAATAAACAATAACAAGCAAATCAATATAATGAACGATTTTATTAGAATTCATTTACAATTATTGAAAATTAAACTACATTTTACCTCCAAAACTGCATACCGCCAGATCACGTATCCATTTAAAAGCTCTCGATATAGAACATTATAGTCACTTTATATTTACACTTGAACCTAATGGCTAACACCAAGTTAATTGAAACGTATACCATAAACACATTAACAGTATAACAGTACATACATTTTATTTAGGCACGACAGAGTAATGCCGAGAAATCTGCCAGAGACCGACACAACCACCCTCACGGTAGGGCGGTCGGACGTCGACTGAATTTTTTCAAATAGGGACCTAATTTTCACAGGCGCGTTGCACTAGCAGGGTGTGAAATTTGAAGGGGTAATGGTTTGCCGCTAGAACGTTAGATGGCGCTACTAAAGATCGTAGGACTTGGTAAATATGATGGATAGCAGATGCGTGTGTTAATTTTTCATTTGCTTCAACAAAATGTGTGTTTTAGTTTTTAAATCAAGCATGATGACACTTCAATAATAGGCACTTCGTTTTACTCTAAAAGTGATAGAAATCTATATTTTTCTAGTCAATATAAATGTCAACGCAATTTATTGCTTACCAAGTACAGAAGTATATCATTAACTTCTGTGAGGGAAATATTGCCGCCGAGAAATTGTAATAAAATTTATCTGACGTAAAATATAACGGAAATATATTTCTTTAGAAAAGAATGGTACGGATTTTACTCTGACTTAAGGATTGTACGATCCGATTACAGTCAGTTTGCAATGCAAATATTTTTTGCCGTTTCATCTTAAGGCAAATAAATCCTTCGGAGTAAGTATACGAATAAGTATACTATGCGTAATTTCAATTTCTTTGTATTTTAAATGCAGGGATTTTCGCAAGATATATATACATACATCTATATACTTTTTAAAAGATCAAAGTAACTTAATTATCTTAAAAAGATTTATATTACTTGTGAATAAAACACGTTGAGAAGCATTTCCTCTAAATTCAAAGAAAGCTATTGGCATATAGCATTGTTTATGAAGTTTAAGTGGATAAACTGATGTTGCAAAAATTTACAAAGAATAGTCTTCATGGTTTGAATATTGAGAACTCAAATTGATAATGATTACTTATGAACAAATGTAAGATAAGAAGTTTTTGTACTAGAAGTAAAGTTAGTAGAGAGTTCACGAGATTTTTTGTTTAGATTTAGATATTCTTCATTTTAGCTTCATCTATGACACTTACATCTTGTAGTATGCCCCATGTCAATTAACGAATATTCGTGCTGGTAGTCTCTTTACTTATTTGCCCATGGTCCCCACTTCTTGATATGCTATGCCAACCTATGTCCATTCTGACTTTAACTATATCTAGCCAATCCGTAATTTGTGATTGGTTGTTTTATCAAAATGTCCCAGACCTTCTAAGAGTAGATCTTAATTCTGACGATACCCTTTCCAGTGATATAATGTCTCTTGCTTTTAATAGTAAAATTATCCTTTCCATTTCACTGTTACTATTCTGCACGTAAATAATTATAGGATATAACCTGTAGCATCTAAAAATAATTAGGACACAAACAAAACAAAAAGTATGCTTCTTTGACATTCACATCGTTTTAATAAAGCATATCCTGTACAATGTAATGTTCATACGTAATAAGGAAATAATACTTGATATTTACCTTTGTTATCCAAAAGGATATACGGGTAATTTTCCTTTTGATGGCTTTGAAATTATTCTTCTCTGTCGGAATATCTTTTATGTAAGAGTAATATAAAATATCTTAAAATTAATTGACCAGTTTATTAAACAACTGGTTCATAGGTATGTTTTATCAAAAATTTCATGAAAATCCTCATTAAGTACTATTTAATTTTAAAGATTAAGCGAACAAAATATATTTCCCTCAGGTTTACTATTGTTAAAGCTTCCACATCCAATAATCTCAGTTCAGCAAGTTTCATCAAAGCCGTAAATCAATGTTCCAACAATAAGATAGAAAGTTCTCTCCTGGGACAAAGCTGGGCAGCTGACGTGGATCTAGAGTAAAACCTAGCTATTGGCGTATGGCCAAATATTTAAGCTAAAGCGTGTAATTGTTAATTTGTGGACGAATATGGGCTGATTATGATGATGATGATGATGATGATGTGTAATTGTTAATATCAGTCGTGTATCAAAATTACTAAATTAATCACCGAATTTCCTTTTGTAAATATTAACGAGAAAACCGAGGCTTACTTATAAGTAGACCCCGACATTGGAGGTGTTATTTGGTAGCTGGGCATTTTTAAAGATGGGTAAAGTAAATAAGATATATTTATAACTGTACTTCTATAAAACTCATTATGAATATCGACATCATCAATGCTTTACCGATCTCTACAAACGTACAGTTACTAAACTGCACCTCCGGGGTACACGACAGTCCGATAGATCACTTGTTATTGGAAAATAACTACAAAATGCAAAATCAATTAAAAATCCAATGAAATATCTTGGTTTTCCTAACTTATCATAATAGTTATCATAACACAAGAGACTATTTTAAATTTAAATAATACGAGTACGTTTAAAACCCACTTATTTGAAGTACTATAATTTTCAACGTTAGCATCTGTGAACAAGCTGTTTCTTAATTTTGAATGATATATACGTTATTCTGATTCTTTTACTGATAATTTTAGAATCGAATGATGTACTGATTGTTGATTTATTATAATAAGGGTTGCATTAATTCTCCCATCTGTTAATTTTCGCTTCTCTCGTAGAACTTGCACCAACCTCATAACTTATTCTTACTCGGAGCATACTTTTGAATAGTTTTTATTTGAATGGCAATAGAGGTCAAACTGTTGGTCGAAGTATACGCCTAAGTCCATACTTCGTGCATGTGCAATTCTTATTCATGTCCATATTTCGAACTCCAAGTTCTAAAAAGTAAAATATTTTCGCTGTCAGTAATGTAAATATCGGGTTAGACAGTTTCAATATTACCATACGTGTTTCATTTCAAATTATTTCTTATCCATATGTGAATTATCACTTTTTGCGATAAAATCTCAAGAGGAACGAGGTGATAGTCCAGGTCTCAACGCAGGATATAAGCCGACTCCTTTTCATCCGACTCTAGAGACACTTTTCATTTTCTTAGCCCCTCCCATCCACAAGGTGAGAACCAGAGGGATCTTCTCGTACTGGACGTAGTTGACTAAGTAACTTCTCTTGGGTTCCAGGGCACCACTGCCGACGGAAGGCGAGCCCAGGGTTTTTATGACTGTTAACACATAGAAAAACTGTTGGTAATGTAGCCAATATTGACTTAACATACAAAAATATTTATATTGATCTGTTTCTGTAGTTTATGTGTCATATTCGATTGCCCTTTGTTACAGTAAATCTAAAAAAATAACAATATTTTATTTCTCAACTAAAATGTATAGTAGACACCACCTCAAGTTACTCTAAAGGCCAAATTTCTCACCGATTTCAAACCTTAAATTGTTGAATACAAAATTAGCCCTTTTTAGGATTTTGGTGTGATGCTGTATGGAGAAATGAAATGCATAAAAATTGGAGTATTTCTACATACTTGAATCTATCCGACTTTTATTTTCTGTTTTTTTTTTTTCGGAAATCTATATTAATGCATTTCATTGCTCATATCGATTTAATTTATCGAAATCGTATAAAAAAAGTGTTCAATATCAAGTTTATTATAGATGTAAACACTGTTAATACATCTCCATATATTAAAAAAGCAAACAATGACTAAATTTCCCGTGTATATTTCTTTTCCATCCAATTTGGTTGGCAACCGAATTCTAATTTCATTGGATACACTACGATAGAACAGTGTCAGTTTAGAGGCAACAATTGTGCCGACTCAGCCCCACATAATGAAATAACATTACGAAGCAATTCTACATACAAATGGGTGGAATACACTACGAAATATGAAAAACAAGTTTGGGGTTTTGACATAATTGAGTAACAAATAATTTAATTGGGAACGCTTACATAGATTTATCACCAAAATAATGATATTAAATCTATCAATAAAACAGTTACTTGCAACTAATGAAATTGGTTATTAAATAACTTAATAAATTATTTAGAACTAAAATATCAAATTTTATATAGCCCTCAAATTAACAAATAATCAATGGAGAAGAATTATGTGAGATGACTTGACGAAGTTCCTAGCTAGAAGCTTTTTTAAGTTGCTTGGTCTTTTACCGGTCTTTGAATAACTGTAGCACATGCATTCTGAATTATATTCACAATGATTAAAAAAAGGACAACGCAAAATGAGTCCGTTACGTTCGGAAAGAATTAGTGTATATGAAAAAAAAAATATAATTATAATATAATCTTTATTGCACATATACAGAGAGGAAAACAAAACGAAGTTACACGGTAAAACAATACAGAGTACACGAATAAAATCAACAGCAATCAAAGTTTTAAAGAGGTTTAAACTCAAAAATTTTAAGCCACTTTCAGTTAAAAACGAAAGAATTTTTTCTTTGTTCAGTTGAAATAGATTACGATTTTGCCAAGATAAAAAAGTTCCCGATTACAAAAAGATTTATTGTAATTTTGTTTGTTTTCTTTTTACCGCAATATATAATTTTTTCTTCTATTTGTATCGTTTCCTGAACTAGCCTTAATACCAAACTATAAAATGAATTCCTTTTAATACACCAACGTCTTACAACTGTCGCTTTAGTGCACAGTTCCGTGTCATTTTTTCCATTCAACCTTTCGATATTTTTCTTATTGCTAAGAATTTTATCACAAAAATTTTAAGACAGTTAGTGTGTTTTATTTAGCAAATCATAAAGATATTTAAAAGAAAAAAAATCTTCTCTATACCCTTAAGCAAGTTTTTACTTCTTTGACGGAATAAAAAACGAGTCTGTAACATAACGGCCTTGATCTACGCTCGTATTCACTTAACAGCGAGATTTGATGCCTTCAGTGTGTTTTATTAGAGAAATACCTGTTTCCCGCGACATCGCCTGCGTAAATTATATTCTTGATTATAACGGCAACAGAAATTCCTATATATTATCTGTGAAATCTACCTGTCACGGTTCATGAACAGCTTGACAACAGGAAAAAAAGCACGTATTTTTTGTATGGAAGCCCCCTTCAATATTTATTTTATTCTGGTTTTTAGTATCTTTGAAGCGGCAATAGAAATGAATTATCTGTGAAAATTTTAACTATCTAACTTTTACGGTTTATGCGGTGCAGCCTGACAGGCAGCGAAGTCTTGATAATATGGTT